CCATTATGTAATTTAATTTTCCAATCTGTATCACAGAGCATTGTGCTCAATCATGGGTGTGTCCAAGAGATCACCAGAGAAGTCTGTTCAAAGCAGAATCTACCCAAGGCTCCAGTATGTGCCCTCTGAAATAGTATGTCCAGGAGCAGAGGATGAACTTTATGGTGTAAACTTCTATAATCTGATTGAAGTGTCAGTTTTTACAACTCAAAAAAATGCTAGAGAAAAAAAAATGATAGCAAAAATTTCTCCAGAAAACCAATACTTTGCATTTCTCCATGGTTATCTTCATTTTAAAATATCAGAACTGCCTTTCAATTTGATTATCTTATTACTAGTATTTTAAAAAAAAGAACAAGCCAGGGTGTAATGTGGCTCAGTTGACTGAGCACTGACCTGGGAATCTGTGGACCAAAAGGTCACCCGTTCAACTCCTGGTCAGGGCATATGCCTGGGTTGCTGGCCAGTCCCAGGTTGGGGGCATTGGAGAGGCAATTGGTCATGATGTTTCTCTCCCCTCTTTCTCCCTCCTTTCCATCTCTCTAAAAATAAATAAATAAACTCTATTAAAAAATAAAAAATAAAAACAAGCCCTGGCTGGTGTGGCTCAGTGGAGTGAGTGCTGGCCTGCGAATCAAAAGGTCACCAGTTCGATTCCCAGTCAGGGCACGTGCCTGGGTTGCAGGCCAGGTCCCCAGCAGGGGGTGCATGAGAGGAAACCACACACTGATGTTTCTCTCCCTCTTTCTCTCCCTCCCCCTCACTCTAAAAATAAATAAATAAAATCTAAAAAGAAAAATATTTAAAAATAAATAAGTAAAAACAAGAACAAATTTCTAGGTGGTTCATTTATTCCTTCAGCCCTGGACGGGTAGCTCAGTTAGTTTGAGGATCACTCCACTACTCCAAGGTTGCAGGTTCAATCCCCAGTCAGGGCACATACAGGACTCATAAAAGGTCTATCGCCAAGCCTTAGCAGCGCTACAAAAACTGATCACAAAGAGGAAGACAGACCTACACATGGACGTTCAGAAATGTTGCCACAAAGCAGGATTAAACTATCCTCATAATAAAATTCCAGCTCTATTTTCTATTTTCTACTGCGCCCCCCCTGCCCCCCCCCCGCGGCTCCCCCCACAACTCTTCAGTTGAAGGATGAAGTATTTGTTTAAGGAGTAATCTGGTTTGTTTCACATTCCTGGGAAGCTGATACTTCTGGAAAATAAGATACTTTAAGTAAGTTGATTTTATCTCACTGCAACTGGTGTCTTCAGTACCTGAACTCTTGCAAAATGTTAATTGAGCAAACCTTTTCAATTTTTTCTACTGCACTCTGCTTTCATGTTAATTTTGTCACATTTCTTTTCCAAAAATTATTTATTGATTTTAGAGACAGTAAGAGAGAGCTTGATCCATTTCTTTATGCATTCACTGGTTGCTTCTCGTATGTGCTCTGACCCAGGATCCCACCCAAAACCTTGGCACATCTGGACAATGCTGCAACCAACGGGACTTCCCGGCCCAGGCGTATCACATTTCTTGAACTGTTATTTGTGAGTCTGTATATCAGTACCACTAAATAGCAACAGACCCAAACTTGTCATCCCATTCTTTAGGCCATGAAAACTCTGTTTTCTTACCACATGAAAACAGAGCTATTTTGGGATTAGAATGTAAATAAGGTGTTATAATCATCACCTGATATAAAATGTCTCCTAGAAATGTGTTCTTCAGGGTTCTTTTCTCCCCATACTGTTATTCTTATCCTTTGAGTAAAAGAAAAAACTTGAGTAAAAATAAAATGTTTCACTGATTGATTTTAGAGAGAGAGAAAAGGGAGAAAGGGAGAAAGAGAGAGAGAGGAAGAGGGAGAGAGAGAAATTGAGAGACATGGAATTGTGTTCCACTTATTTATGCATTTATTGGATGATTCTTGTCTGTGTCCTGACTGTGGATCAAACCTGCAACCTTGGTGTATCTCGATGATGCTCGAAAAACTACCAATCTAGGGGCCAGCGCCAGTAAAATTATTTTTAAAATAACAGCATTTTGGGGGAACTATGTTCCATTTTCCCAGTATCCTATGTCAACGCAGGCAGATATAGGATACCCGCATGATAAAAGATGCAGACTAAGAGACAAGAGGACAGTGTGGGGAATTTTGAGTTCCCTCTCCCTGATTACTTAAAAAAAAAAAAAAAAGAAAAAGGAAAACATTCTCCCTTACTGTACATACCTCCACTTTCCCTACATATAAAGTGAAAAAAATAAAATCTGTCCTAACTTGTCTCTTAGGACTTTGAGGATAAATAAAACAACAAAGCACCGACACCTCCTTTCAAACACAAAAGAGCTTTCAATAATTTTGTTTTAATAATGAAGTGCTTGAGTTCTTGATAACAAAATACTCTATTATTATTAGAAACTAATTACGTTGGTTGATATAAGAATTTGGGTGGGGCGGTTCTTTCATTGTTATCAAAGTGTATATGAAAATAGATGCTTAAAAACATTTATATTCTCTCTAAATGTTCTTAACTGGGTGGGTCAAATGGTATGTTGAAAATACTGTCCTAGATGGCCAAAAATGTTAAATTGTTGAAGGTAAGCCACAGAATGTCCTTTTCCACAGATTGAGATGGGGTGGTGGTGGTGGTGCGGGTGTGTGTGTGTTAGAGAAAGAGAGAGACAGGGAGGGAGGGAGAGGGAGAGAATATGAATCTTCTGGGAAGGGGGAGAAGAATGGGATGGTTTCTGCTGGCTCAAGTAGATCTGTAAGCAGAGAGGAAGCTAACGGGAAGGTGAATTAGAATTGAAAAGTCCGTGGTCTGACGACCTTTTCTTTTTTTTTCTACTGCACACGTCCCCACTGAGCTGCCAGCTGTACAAACAACTGTGCAGGAACCGGAGGCGGGGCCCTTACGCTGTCGTTCAGATTAACGTGCTCGCTAATAATCTTCAGGCTATTCCTGAGACCCGGGAATTAGAGTCCCCGTTTTCTCCTCTATCACAAATCCTTCAGTTTCCCAGCAAAGTTCTGTCTTTCGGGAAGAATCGATTTGGGGCACAGCCAAGGTCTCAGACTAGGCAGCAGCCCCCGGCCCGGGCTCCGCGGTGCCCCCTACTGGTCACCTCTGCGGCCTTGGCTTCCCTTGGTCCAGCTCCCCAGCCCCAGGTCTTACACCCACCCCCTTCTTCACCTCCTCCCAGTCCCCTCCCCTTCCTCCCGGCAGCATCCCCTTCCTCTTCGTCCCCCTCCCCTAGGTGCCCCCGCTCCGACGAACGGGCGCCGCTCCGTCTGCGCCCAGAAGTTCGGGGCTGCGCTGGGAAGCGGTGCAACTTCTCACAGTTCTCTCCCTGCTAGCCTGACACCCTCCCGAGTCCACGCATCTCTTCTTCCCCCTCACCTCCTCGTCCGGGACGCTGCCGGCAGCGTTTTCGCCAAGCCCGCCAGTTTGGTCCCGTTTACTTCTCTAGTTTAGACTCCCTGTCAGTGACGGTTACTTTTTGGCCTTTTCATATATGCACATTTTGGGGGCCTTTAACCCCCCTCGTGGAGAAATGGAGGCAATAAAATGGCGGACCCGGAAGTGGGGGATCTGCGAAAATAATTTCTGGCGGAGGAATCTGTGGAGAGAAAACGATTAGAAAACCTACATTTCCATGCGAACAGAATGATGATGCACCTCCGAGGACTCTTTGCCATCCACCGAAGGCCTTTTGCGGTGAAAAAGCGTGTATCCGAGAAATAACTAGACAGGACTATTTAGCGTGGCGGAGGATTGTCGATTACGTGTCTTACGTGTCGTATAGACCCGGCAGGGGACGGACAGATGGTTTGTTTTGGCGCCAAGAATCAAGCGAACCGCTGAAGAGAAACAGGATTCCGTATCAATCCTGCTCTGCCTTGGTTGCTCCTTGGGAGGCCAGCTATGGGTTGATAGGAAATCCTTGTTTCCTTGTCTCAAGCTAGGGTGAAACTGTTTGGGACATTCCTGGCTTTGCGCAAGAATTGAACTCTGGTTGCCTTACGGACATATTTCCAGTTGCAGCCTGTACTTAAGAACCCTAGAGCCGAGCTGTCAGTAGGAACAGTGAAACAAATAACGAAGGCATTTCTTTTGAGGGTCCAGGACGAAGAGTTTGCAAATCCATTTAGGCATTTTATTTACCAAACAGTTGTGTCCCATCTCCACCCACCAAACGCCACGACTAAAGAACACTGAGAAGTCAGGAAAGAAGTCCTTAAAAAATACGTAAAAACAGGAAAGGACACGTCACTGATTCATCCTTTATTACATTTTGGCTTTTTATGTTGATAGTCGGCCTCTCAAAGCCTACAAGGAAGATTAACGTGTTTCCCCTTTCTGAACTTATCTAGATCTCATTCATGTCATCTTTAAACTATGTACAGCATTTTGCCCAAGTACTGTCCGTCTACATCGGTATTTATGGCTTCCCTCTCTAAGTCTGAGAATCAAAATCCTGTTTCATTGTTGTTTACATCCTTTTATGCTGTCTGGCTCAGTGCCTTTCATAGAATAGGTACCCCAAAACTACTTGTAAGTTAGTACAAATGGGGTTTTTTTAATTTTTAAATGAGTTTTAAGTAAGCAGATAACAATATTTGGGTGAATTCATTTATTTTCTTAGGCACTCAGACTGAGATAAGGAACAGATTATAGTGCCACAGGTGCCTCCTGAGGCACCTAGAATTACTGTCTCAAATATGTTGGTAGTTAGTGGGCAAGCAGAATGGTGGGTTGCAGCTTTCTAGCTAAACAATTTTAGGTTGATTTCACCCTTCATCTTGTTACCCATTCAACCTAAAGTTAGTCATTTTAATGTATAAAGGCTACTCAAGTCATTCTTCCTCAAAGTTGAGTATTAGAAAAAAATATATAAGCTGAATGTGAAAGCAAGTCTAACTTATGAAATCTAGACTGTGTTCCTGTGGAGAGAGAAAACTAGAATGCAATCCTGGGATTGAATGTCTTTATTAAAGAAATGAATAAATGGCAGCACAAATCAGCAAAAATTTTGGAAAGACTGGGAACAGGGTGTAGGGTCAGAATGTGGTTGCTCATTTCGTGGTCTCAAGGTAAGCTGAGGAACTGTGCCTGAGGCCCAATGATCAGTATCACTGGGAAATGCAGGAGGGCAAGTCTAAAATACTAAGGACCAAACCCTATGTCTTTTAGAAACAGAATTAAGATCTTACAAATGATCATTAATAGTCAGCAAGATTGCATTTAAGATTTGAAATTGCAATTACTCTGAGTAATTTTCCTCAGTTTTCAACCCATAATTAGGAGCAAAATTGTAAAGTGAATAGACTTTTTTAAGGAGAAACACCCTTTCAAGAGAACGTAACTATTCCTGAAATGATTCAGGGCTTTCCCCTATTTTCATTTTCCAAGACATATTATTTCCTCTTGGTTTACTGTTTACCCCCAATTTCTCTCAGAAAAAGCAAGTGTCTTATCACCTTAGCCTTTTAGAAATCCTACTGTCTTGTAGCAGATAATCTCAAATTAATATTTACAAGGTATTCATCAACTCTTGAAGAAATATTTGTGTTTACTGGCCTCGAGCAGGGTATTAGGAAGGGTATTAAAATGAGGTAAAAAAAAAAAAAATCAGTCCTATTATACTACTACTTTCTGGTGCTCCCATCAGGCCTGTTTTCTGGAGTTAATTTGGGGCGGAGAGGAGGAGGGATCCCTGTGACCCAGCAACTAAGTACTCCATTGCTTGAACCCTTTACTTTGTGGCTTGAGGGCTCTTGCAAGAAAACGATAAGATATATTAAATAAATAAATAAGTAAGTAAGTAAATAAATAAATAAATAAATAATAAAAGATAACTCTGGCAGATTCATCAGCACCACCTCAACACCGGAGGAGAAAGAGCAAGGTTGATAGGGGGAAAGGATGAAAACGAAGAGGGTAGAAAGGGAAGACAAGGAGGGCAAAGTGGTGGGTGGGAGAGAGGAGTCTTGGGCTTAGAGCAAGTCTAATTCAAAGGAGTGGATGCTGGCAATGGGAGCTCTCCAGAAGTTGAAGGTGCTGTACTCAAGGAGGACATCGCCTTCAGGACTTTTCTCCTGCTCTGTTCCAGTTGCTTGCCCGGTGATTTTGCCAACGCTGCTGTCCTGGACCTTGTAGGTGGACGTATCAGACAGACCCAGGCTTTCCAACTCCGACAGATCCAGCTCTGGAATGGGCATCCTCCAGAAAAGAAAAGAGCTGTACTGGCTACTCACAGGGTCCCTCATAACTTCCTAGAAAGAAATCATTTGTCAGTCTTCATGCTACAGCAACCTCTTTGTGACCCAATGCCTTTCCTTACTTAGAAACTTAATATCCCCATTTGCCTCTGTACATAACCCAAGCTCCCGAGGACATTCTTCAGGAATCCTTTTACTAGTGCCTTTTTCTACTATTTCTCCCCAAGGAATGACTTATTTACTGCCTACTGCTTCAAGTCAATCTTGAGGCTGGTTTTCCAGGCCTTCCAGAATCTGGCCCTATTCTTCCTAGTAGTAGTTCATACTCTGCTACAGTTATGCTCATTACTGCCTTACTTAACTCTCTCCACTCTCCGTCTTAAAATACTATCCAAATTCCAACACTCCACACAAGTCCCTAGAGGAATCTTTCCGCTGAACTTCTATTAAGTTTGCAAATACAGAACTTTTTCCTGCTTTCGGTTTAGTAGGTCATGGTACCTTTGAAAAGGGCTTCCAGGACATTTTGGCTTTCTGTTTTACTCCCTGCCTTCTAAACCCTATTATGAACTCACCTCTTCCAGGAAGACTTCCTTAAACTTATTCAGCTCCAACTATCCATTTCTTCTAGCATCTACCCTAACACCCTGTAGAGTTTTACCTGACTATATCAGTTTGGGGTTACAGATCACTGCTATGTGTATAGGGATAGTCTTATCTCCTTCAAGGGACAGAGAGAATCCCCAAGGGTAAAAATCAGTCACTTTGTACTTTCTTCACAAGTGCTGGGTTTTGACACAAAAGACATTCAAGGCTGCTGATTCATTTTCTCTCACTAATACAATGAATACCTTGTCACTGCTACCTATTAGTCCACAGATAAGCCTTAACAGCTTATCTATTTCTCTCTAGCCTACCTCTGCTTCAGAACAAAACCCAGGTGCTAAAAAAAGTTTTTCCTATAACAGTTCTCTTTTCTCTGATCACAATGCTAGACTATCTGATGATAATGAGAGCAAATGGATTGGAAACTCCAGGTAAAGAAGGTAAAGTTTAGACTGAAAGGAGAAGGTCCTTTAGCAGAATTAGACACTTTTCCATGCTTTAATCAGTACTTCTATCACCTTTTTTGCTCATCCCATCCATACCCTGATGTTATATGACTATTATACCTCCCTGCAGCCTCCAAACTACTGCTTCCTAGCCAAGGGAAGGGGCAAGAAGCATTAGTTGAAATGTTCCCAAAGGAGCCAAAAGAACATTCCTCCACCTCCAAAAATAGAACCCCATTTCCAAAGGACTTCCTCCAACACACTCCATTGGCTCTCATTAGGCCTGGAGACTCCTAAATAGTGACCTAAAATAGGTTCCAAAATGTACTACAGAAACCTTATCAGCCTATATAATATGAAATGTCTCTACCAAGGCAGGGAAAGAATGCATTAATTTAGAACATGTTTATGTGTGAATGTGGGGGCTTTAGGAGGGGTGAGTAGGTAGACTCAATGTTTTTAAAGTTAAAAGTGAATTCTGAGTTGCTCTTTTCTTGTTAGGTTCAGGCTCCAAAATAAACCCTGGGAACTGAGCATTACTCAGCATCAAAGCTGCTTACGATTGTGATGGGGGGACTGGGACAGGATGGGAACATGTTGGAAAGGTGAAGTCATCATCCTATAATATTTAGCTCTGATCATCTCCACAATAATTTACAGAGACATGTGCACAGAAGGAGACCTACAAAAAATGGTTGTACTATCAACCAATCAGCCAGGGCTTAGGTCTGTGGCTATAGAGATCCTAAGAAGCAAACCTTGTTACCAGTTAATTGCCCACATAGCTGGCTTCTTTTATATCCTCTCCCTAACCAGTTCTCTCTAGTGAGTATAAGGCTGAACAAATATAATAGGTTCTTTAAAAAATAGAATCATAAGAGGGGAAAAAAAATCATAGATTTTTAAAACTTGAAAATACCTTAGAAATTATCTAGTGACTTCAGAAACCTCCAAGCCAATTTGGATAGAACCCAGGTCTCATGATTCCCAGTCTGGTCCTTTTTTGATGTGTTGTACATAGATAATTGCCTACAGCTTTATATAATCCTATACCAATAATTCTCAAAACTTGCAAGAATTCTCAGTTCCTGAAGAGCAGATATTCAGTGGATTAGGTGTTGATTATTCCTGTGGTTCTAATCTGAATGCTGAACATGCAAAAAGGCAGTAGAGAGCAAGTTAGAATCTGAGAAAGGGAAAAAGCTCTGACAAACTGACTTCTTTTCCTGTAGCCAGCATATGTATTGAAGCTGTCCAATCCCTGAGCATCTGGCAGAGCTTCTCTTGGCAATTAAAAATCTAAGGGAAATTTCATGAACTATTAACTTAAAAAGCCTAAAATCTTTAGCTATGACTCAGAGACATGTGCAGAGAGTACCAAATCATTCTAGAAAGACACTTATACAAGCATTAACTGCATTTAAAGTGAAATCAAGAACATTGACTTCACCAAAAAAAGAAGCTAAAATACCCTTTACTCTGATAATGAAAATTTAAAATTTAATACAGTATGACTTTAATTCCCAAGTACCCAAATTCTGCAAGGTCTCTTTTCAGCCAGCTTTCCCTTCTCTCTCCATATGCTTAATTAGCAAATATATATAAAGATACACCTCTCTGAGCCACACAGACACGCCCAAATACTCTTTGTCTAGACCCTCAGTGGGAATCCAGGGCCTACCCAACCAGGCTTTGCTGTGTCATGCTGCCATGAAATGGAAGGACAAGGGATGGGGATGGTAGGGAATGGAAGTGCTCTGGCATCTCATTGTATGTGCCTCATTCTGGGCTTGGATTTTTCTATTAGCCATGTTCTTCCCCACCTAGTCCACTGAGCCACAAATAAACACTTCTTTTCCAGAATCTGCTCCTATACCTAGCTCTTGTGGGCTGTACTAATTTCCATATGGGATCAGGTAATTCTCCAGCACAGAGGACAGAGGCCCCCACCTTCCTACCTCAACTTGCCTCTTTGGAGCAAAGGTTTGAGTTTGATAGGAGGCTGTTAAAAGAAAGATGAGGATTAATCTCCATATTATCTCCTATCTTTCCCCCCCAAACTCCCTCCTATGGAGACAAGTTTGGGGTGAGGGTAGACTCATCAATAGAACACTACAGAAAAAAGAAAGAAAGAAATATAGAGAAATAGAGGCTAGAGCAATACAGTAAGACTAGAGATTTATCAAAAAACAAATTATAGCTTGAAAGGAAGATGTAGATAACTAGACTGGATATAAAATACACAGGACAATAAATTATAGGCAAGTAGGTGCTTGAAATGAGATAAATGCTGAGAAATAACTACATGTAAACTGTTAAATATTACTGTCAGTATACAGGATTATAAGGTACGGATGGAGATGTAAGCGAAGAGGCGTAAAACGGTGAACGAATAAACTACCCGTTGTTCACAGAGGAGCCTTCTCTCCTCTTGAACTGTCCCCAACCTCATCCTTATTTGGGGTCCTCAACCTAACCAGAAGCGGCCCCTGACCCCCTCCCTCAGTTTAGTTTACCTGTTATCAGTGAATTACTAGTGCGTTCCAAGGATGGAGGGAGGACCCCGGGGCTCCGGTGCCTGCTCTGGGCTGGAGAGAAAGGCAGCTGTGGGGGCTTTGCCGGCTTTGTCTTCTGGCTCCCTCTCCCTCTTCAGTGACAGTCTGTCGGTTCAGTCTCCCCCTGCAATGCAGCCCCTCCTAAGCAGGGCGGAAGGACTCCACGCCCCTCCCTGCCTGACTCGGCTAATTCAAACGAAAGGTTCCAGAACACTTTCGGGAGGAAGCCAGGACCTAGGCGTCTCCGTGGGTTTACTGGTCTGCCCAATTATTGCTCAGCTCTTTCAGCATCCCCATGCTGACTGAGGGTGCATCGAATGAGCAGTTCATTGTCCTCTGATTTAAGGTTTATGGATAAAAAACTTAACTCTAGACAACAATGGAGTGCCCCTTTATTACTCAATTTAAGGATTTCGGGTTACTAAATGCCTTTGAGAATGAGTAAAATTCTCCATCCATCCCTCCTTCTGACTCGCCTCCCCATCCTCAAAATGGGTAAATAAGCCGAAACCGATTTCATTTGGGGTAGATGGGGGGCGGTGTGTGCTTCTCAGAAACTCGGAATTTGGTTGGGTCTGAGGGATTTGGGGGGTCCGCTTCGTTTTGCCCCGCACTGCCTGGTGCGCAAAGGGAACGTGCGATTTCGGGGGCTGAGCTTGGGCGCTCGGCCCTCACCGAGGGGTCCACGTTCCGCAGCGCGCCGAGCAGAGGCGGCGGGCTCGGGGCTTCCGAGGCCTCCTCTCGGGCCCTCCCCGGTGCAGTGCCGCATCAGTCCAGGGGGGAGCTGTGTGCTCGCCTCCCAGCCGGACGGGTTTCGTAATCGCGTCGCCGCCGTTTCCGCCCTCTGCCAGCCCCACCTCTGCCGGCCCGCCCTCGCTCCCCGCCGCGCGGAGAGCGAGTCCGGTAACCCCCACACTGGCAGGCCCGGAGCGGGAGCCCCCCACAAGCTGCAGCCGAGCGCCTCGATGCCGGAGCAGAGCAGGTGAGACCGTGGAATTTGCCCGCCGCCGGGGCGCCCCGCTTGCCCTGCCCGACGGCGCTGCACCGGATGCTGGGGGTGGGGGAGGCGGGTGTCCGAGGCTGTGAACCGGCTGGATCGGTGGGAAAAGGGCTGCGCCTCCTCAGTAACCGCCCGAGTCCACGCTGTAGCGGCGCGCAGGGTGAGGCCGCCGAACAGCAGAAGGAAAAGAGAGGTTTGGGGTGTTGGCGGAGGCGGAAGAGGGAGAAGGTCTCCTCTGAGACTCAGTGACCTCGGTGGTGGCGTGTGCCGGACCTAGTGGAGCCGCGCTGGGTCCTGGAAGGTTGAAATCTGAGACTGAGGTAGCCACCAAGGACAGTGACAAATCCGAAAGGTTCGCCGAGGGGTCCCAATCCTAGCTCAGCGTTGGGCGGAGCAGAGAATTTCTGGGTAGAGTTGGGGGGTTGGCAAAAATAGTCTGTGACTGAAAAACCGAACATATTGGGGAGGGAGAGCTTAGGACCTACTTCTGTTTCATCTAAAGCCCCCACACGACCTTTCCTGGTGAAGGGCACATGCCTGTCACTTGCCTGAAAAGTGGGGTCTGTCCCTACTCCTCTAGGGCGCCTCGGTACCCCTTCATGTCTGGAGGTCTCCACAGGGGACCAGCTGCAGCCCTGGGCTTATTGCCCACTCTCATTCTCTTCATTTTCTTTCTCTTTCTCTCCAGCTGCTTCTTGTGAAGGCTTGTCAGGCAGCGGGTTGGAGGCCTTGAGGCTGCAGGCAGCGGGACCGGGAAAACCGGTTTGGGGCTAGACCAGGACCGGGGAACTACCTCTGCACATCCTTCCTCCCTGGAACCTTTCTTCCATCTCTTCTCCTGCTCACTCCCCAATAGTTTTAAAGCTGTTAAGCCCCGGTGTGACCTTGGTGTCTTTTCCCTGTTCCAACTCACCCTTCCTATTTGGGACGCAGGCCCGGTTCTCAGAACTACTTGGCCGACGGGTGTGATCTCTTTCTGATCCCTCCTGCTGCCTTCCCAACCCCTCCCCTTCATAACGCGGTTGAAATAGTGGGCAGTGGATTCGGATACCTCTTCCCGGGTTTACCAGCTCAGGACTTCAGTTTTTCCTCAACGCAGCCCTTAGATGTTTTAAGGAAAGGGAGTGGCAGCCACTCACTCACTTTTCTGGCCTTGTTCTCCCCACTCTCCCACCCCCAGTTTCACCCTGCTGAGTTTTCTCCACACTCTGACCCAAACCCCCCCACCCCCAGCCCGCGGGGCCCCCCCCCCCCCCCCCCCCGGCCAAGTTTTAGTGACCCTTATGTCCTCTGTCCTAGGGAATGGAATTTCCTGGTCACTTCTCATCATCCTTGGTCATTACATGCCAAGTCCCACACATACGGTTTCCCTCCAGTCAACTCTGGCCAGGTCCCTGGAAAAGGAACAGAAATGTCCTTGTTCCCTCCACTGCCCCTTTCCCTCTCTCCTCTCCCCCTCTTTTCTCCTCTCCCCTCCCACCATCCACTTCTGTCCACTCAGCTTTGAGCAGAGGCTGCTGGGGAGAGTCCAGTCTCAGTACAGCCTGTCTGGTGGTGTTGGGGGTTTCCTCTGATTCTTCATTGTTTTCTTCATCATCCCCCATCCCTGCCTCCAGCCCTTACCACAGGCTGCCACCACCATCACAACAAACCCTGTGACTGACTTCCCCATTGACCACAGCTCCCCTCACTGGACAGCTGTGTGCTGACTTCCGCCCTGTCTCATTACTCCTCCTCTCCAGTGGTGGGAAGGGAAGTAAGAGAAAGCCCAGGCTCCTGGGACCTTCCCTCCCTTAGAAGCTGTATCTCCGTGTTTGTGTAATCTCATCTCAAGGCTGCTAAAAAATAAACTAAAATAAACAAAACCCTGTTCTTAGATCAGTCTGGGTGCCAGAGCTTCAGGGTTCCAGGCCTGGAGGGACAGGAGATTCATATTCATGCTCAAGTGCGATATTTATAAAACTGCCCTGTTTGGAAACTACGGGGCTGCCTGTGTTATAGGACTGGGGAAATGTGGTGATGAATGTAGAGGAAAGTCATGTGTGCCCTACCCTGGCTGGCAGTAATGAAAGTTCTTCCTTGGACACTAATGCTGTTGGAAAGTTCCTCGTGTCTGGTTGGCTGACGACACTTGGAAGTGGTGAGGAGGGAGCAGAGAACAGGTCACAGCATGAGGGGAGGAGGGAGGCTGGGAGGCAGGCGCAGAGCGAGTGGCACGATAAGACATGTGGAGAGGGTGGGGAGGCTGGAAAAGATTTCTCATGGGACGGAAGGTAGCTGGCACATGTACCTGCAACCTGTGCACAGATGATCTATACAAGACACACAGAGATACGGCCATGCCACATATGTACAAACAGGTATACACGCAGGAGGGCAGTCATACAGGACACAGAGAAACAGTGTGTACAGCCTTAAGGAAAGATCTCAAGGTCAATTAATGAAGGAACTGTTAAATGTCTTTGGGAGGGGCTGCTGAGGGAAATGGGGAAGAACAAGGGCAGGGAATAGAGAAGAAATTTCTCACTGGAAAATCTTTCTTGAGAAACAACTTGCTATAGTTAGTCACCTAGGACTTAGGTAGTCAAGGTCTTAAAATCTAGGTGTTCAGGGTAAGGTTAGGAAAAAGGGAGGGACAGGGGTGGAGGCCTTGTTTGTGAGAACAAAAAACCACCGTTTCCTCTTCAAAGTCACTTAAATGCCCCTCCCCTTCTGCCCTAAACCCAGAGAGCAGGGAGGCGGAGTTTGTAGTACCCCCAAACTTTGCTCATTTCTGCCGTGTCCTTTGGTCCCCTCCCATCCTCTCACCCTAAGGGACCCCAGCCTCCTTGTTCTTCCTGGTACCAGCAGCTACTGCTCCTTAACCTCTTGTGTCCTTTTATTCTTTTCCTTTCTCTGAGAGTCCGACTCTGAGGTTCCTGTGTTTGGAGGAGGTTAGCATTGGGCACAAGATTGGGGCCTTTAAGGGAGAACAAGAACCTGGGCTATCAGGAGGCTTCTCAAGGAGGGACGGATTTCTCAGTAACCTTTCTTCTCTACTTTCTGCTCATCCAGGGTTCCAAGCCTGAGGAAAACATAACCCTTGCCTGCCTGCCCGCTTCACTCTGCTGGCCCTGCTAGTCTCTCGGGGTCTGAGACACTGACCTTTGCTGCTCAGCTAAAGGGTTCTGAAGACTCGACTCGCTCTAGACCCGTCCTGCTGAGTGAACCCAGAGTGTTGTTACCTCTGAAGGGAGTGAGGAGTGGGCGGTCCAGGCACCAGAGCAAGAGCCCTGTGGGGCCCCAGGCAGAGGAGTGAAACTGGAACCATCAGGGAACATGAGTGAATTTTGGCACAAACTGGGCTGCTGTGTGGTAGAGAAACCCCAGCCGGTGAGTCTCCCCACCCCCACCCCAGCACACAGAAATCAGTTACCGTATACTGTGAAGTAGACACACCGTGTAGGATCTGCTGTCTAAAAAGCACACTTCTTTCCTTCCTGTCTGTCAGGATAACTTTGATGGCTAGGCAGGTCTGTACTAGAATAAGGGGACTGGATGATGGAAGAAGTGAACAGTCCTAGCTATCACTTCCTTTTCCCGTCCATTCTGAGTTAGGTGAGAGGTAGAGCTTAATATCTGTCAGTTTTCCCCATTGTTTCCTCATCAGCCAGAGGTGACTTTGATATGTCCTTTCTTTGTCCAGTATTCGCCCTGCAGGCCACTGCCCTCACCACCCTGCCCGTGTCCTCTCTGTGTTTGCTATTCCAGCCTTGCCTTTCATTCCCTAGTGATTTATTTCCCTATTATAGGGCCATATCCCCTTCCCTACTAGGCCCTTAGCTCTTCCCTTAGTGGTTTTCAAGGCTCTTTTTGCTTCCTCCGCGGTGACTGTAGGAGGGGGTTTCAGACATAATTCCTCTATTTTCTCCAAGCAGAAGAAGAAGAGGAGACGGATTGACCGGACCATGATTGGGGAACCAATGAATTTTGTCCACCTGACTCACATTGGCTCTGGGGAGATGGGGGCTGGAGATGGACTTGCCATGGTAATAAGGGAATGGGGACAGGCTGACATGGGGTTGTGGCCCAGAACTCTTCCTCTTTTTGACAGTTCAAGCAGGGGACATAACAGAATACTGGACGGGAAGTAAGAAGCTAGGATTCTAGTCATGGTCACTGGTTGCATAAACCGGGGACCTGGCATTTCAGGTCTCTGGCCTAGGCCCCCTCATCTTTACAATTAGCAGATTGTTATTAATTGGGATGGGAGGTATGTATGTCTTGAAAGTTACTGGGGTGGCTTTATCCAAAAACTGTACCCACCCTTCTATTCATTAAAAACGTGCTGTCTCAGTGCTTCAGTAAGTCATACTGTGGTTGGAAATGTTGGGGCAGCAAAAAGGCCAAGCATCTCTGTCTTAAATAACATCTAATATGTATTTCTGCTCTCAAAATAAGGGAAATGGGCCGGGAGACCGTGAAGGAGTCTTTTCACCAACTGTGAAACTTAGATAACTATGATAGGGGCCTTTGTGAGAGGATCTTACTAGTAAAAGACTAATTTATCTCATCCTCACAAAAGTCAGTGTGGAAGGCAGGCATTGAGACTTCCCTTGGAAGAATGCTGATTAATTTTAACCTTTCCAGATGATTTTATTGTCAAGGAGGTGGGGGTCAACCTCTTCCATGGAGGGCACGGGGGAGATCTCTTACTGTGAAACATGAAGACTTAGGAGAGGGTTTCACCTGTGTTTTTTCACAGACAGGTGCGGTTCAGGAGCAGATGAGATCCAAAGGAAACCGAGACAGGCCATGGAGCAATTCTAGGGGCTTGTAGCTCCAATAGGAATGGTGAGTGATTAGAGAAAGCCACCCAACAGCTCCAGCACCTGCTGATGCCCTGCCTCAGAACCCTGATCTCCTGCAAGAGTGGGAATGAAAGGAAGGAAGAGTTAGACTGGGAGAATCAGTAAAACGTAGGGTTCAGAAGAGCAGAGAGAAGGGATGCACAGACAGAAATAGAGAAAAGAGCACACTATGGAAATAGTCTGGGTAGTGCCTTTCTCCCTAAGGCCTTGGTTTACTTTGAGGGTAATATTTTTTTTTTTTTAATCAGATTCTGCTGTTTGAAGTCTCCACTCTGTACCCAGCCTAGAAGAGATGCTGCCCCCACCAGATCCCTCCTTGAACCAGTGCCCCCAGGGCCCGTCTTTTCCTTATCTGCCTGTTAGTGCTTCAGAAGGCTTGGGGGCTGGACTCCCTCTACTCCCTCTGGCTATAGCCCCTCCTGGAGATGGGGTCAAGGCAGCAGGACTGACCAAGTGACTACTGGTTGGCCAGAGGTGCTCAGCTGAAGCCCTGGACACTCTCAGATCTGAAATAGGAGTTTCTGGAAACCTGGAATGGGGTCCCTTCTCCTGAATGACGGTCTGGGTGCCACCTGTTTTTAAACTGTTAACCTGGAACTCCTTAAATGGTAGGTGGGTGAGGATACGAAGCTGAAGCTGGCTTTCTTGAGAAGCTCCCTACCTCCCTGCCCTTCTCCTTCCTCCTGGAATGAACTGAAGCAGATGTCAAGCAAGGGCTGAGTTGGTGACCACTGCCTAGCCTACTCTAAATCTCAGACCTTAAGCTCACAAGCTCTTCAGTATCTCTCTTGCCAATGCCATCATCTTTCTCTAGTTAGGCCTCTCCTCTAACCCTGTTCTATAGCATTGCTAGCTCCTCAATATCTTTCCTTTTTTTTTTAAATTAAAATTTTAATTTAATATGAGTTCTCTTAATTATCCCCACCCTGCTATTACCTCTGTCCTTAACCCCAGCCCTGTTAGGAACCTTATTGTTTCCCATTGAATAAGAGTTAAGGTAAGAGATGGATCTTAACCTGATCATATTCCAATTTAGTCCTGAGGACCCGGCCTGCACTCTGCCAACCTCCCTGCTGGCCCAGGTGGGAGGGGTCTGGAGAGGTACCCAGAATGCAGCAAAACTAGGAGTTATGTCTCAGGGTGGACTTCCTTCCTGACCATTGAGGATGAAAGGTGATTGAAAACAAGGATCTGTGAGTTTAGGAATCTTAAGATCCACACAACCTGGGAGCAGAGAGACCCACAGAACAAGGTTTCTCAATCTAGACATGACATTTTGCACTGGGTAATTCTTAGTAGTGGGGGACTGTCCTGTGCATCATAGCATTTTTAGCAGTATCACAGGCCCACCCTAAGTATGATAACCAAAAATGTCCCCAGTCATTGCCAAGTGCCTCCTAGGGAGCAAAAGCACCCCAGGTTGGGAGCCACTGCTCTAGAGTCAACATATTTTTCTCTTAAGTGACTTCTCTCTCCCTCCCCAAACCCCATCCCATTGTTCATCCTAAATCTGAGACTTGATGAACTAGACCCTCTGTAAAGTAGGCTCAATAGGGCTGCACATAATCTCCAAACAATTCTGTATTCATTATGTGGCTTGTGTTTGCAGGGGTTGTCCTGTGATGGACATGTACTATGCTTCTGCCTTCTTGCTCTTTGGAGGGGTTCGTGCAGCAGTGGGATTGGGGGAGAGAAAAGCAGTAGAACCATAGACACCCCAGCACTCTCCTCCCCAAATTTTAAGCTCTATTTCTGTCCTCTAGTCCTGGAATCAGACACAAGTAAAACTCAGGGAGTTTTGTCTGAAGAACAGGTCCCACTCCCCCATCTGGCTGAAGAGTCTGCTTTAGGTGGGAAAGTAATGGAGGAGCAAGGTCTTTAGGCACTTTCTGTTTTCTCAGGTGTTTTTTGTTCTGGCCCCTTCCTTGCCTGGAGATTAGGAAGGCAGAACAGAGTAGATGAGCTCCTGACTGCTCTGTGTCCAGAAGGCAGGAGTCTCAGTAGCTCAGTAATAGGAAGCATCCTGTTTGATGGTAGTGGGGGGTCAGGAATGTGGGAACAGAGGATCCACTCTACTGATTCCACCATCCACACAGTGTACCCCCATCTACAGTGGCTGAGGTTCTGATTTTTTCAAGTTTCATGTATTTCCTGAAGTTTTTCAGGGTCTAAGAGTGCTCATAGAGATACATTCCCAGTTTACTCTGTTCCAGTCTAGCTAGTTGCTCTTGAAAGTAGCTCATCTTGTTGCCCTAAGTAGCTCAATAGCATGAGGGTTTTTACTAGATCTAAACAAGATAGGGTAGAAAGATGGGGCCTCCTGGAATCTCTCGTCACCCTGATTTTTAACCTTATTCTTATGCCAATTCTTTGGACACAATCTTCTCTTCGGTGCTCTCTCTCCTTCAGCTGCCTTCTCCAATGTGTATGCTACCATCACTTTAACAATATTTAGGGTGATGGGAATGGGTTTGAGAGTCATAATTTATACTGAAAATTTGTTGGATTTCTAAATACATTTTTTCAAATAAAAAGTTTAAGCAAAATAGTCACAGAGTAATCACTACAGGTGTATGTTGTGTTAGGTCTGACTGATGAAGGTAGCCCCTAGAAAGTGGCTAATGTGGGATTTGTACCATTGCTCTTTCTGAGGAGAAAAGAAGACTAAATATTGGGAAGCAGGACCACTACCATCTTGTAAGGACTCTTGTTTGGCACTCATCTGAGATTTTTCAAAAGAAGTACTCGTTTAAAACCAACTTTGGAAATGAGGAAGATGCTGCTAGCTACCCAGTTTCGTTTTATGAGATTTTTGGTCTCTCCTCCCTCAGGTACCTCTGTAAAAAGACACAAGGCCAAACAATGTTTTTTCTAGGTTTTTTCTGTACTAAAAATACCCAGTGGGTGCTGGGATGGAAAGGGGTGGAGGGGCTGAGATGCTGACACCTCTTCTTGCAGATCAAGTGGCCATTACCTCCGGTTTTTGTCTATCTGGGTAAGGAAACAAAATAGAGAAAAGGGGAAATATTATAATGACATCTATTTCTTTTTTCCTTGCTTCATCTCCCTCTCCCCACAAACCCTCATTCCCTCAACACTGCTGCCCCCTATTGATGCTGCTTTTTTCATGGTGAATAATGGCATTGGACACATGAGAAAGACAAAAACAAACTGGCAAAATGACCTTGTACACATTTTATTGTCCTTCCCCCTCTCCCCAAAGGTCCTGTCATCCTATCAACTGAGAATATTTTGTCAAGTCAATCAGAGCATTTGGTAGTTCTTTTGGTAAAGCCTCTAGAGGACTGTCCTTCCTTGAGAATTCTTAGGTTGCTGGGCATAATCCCCCAGGAGAGTTCTTGGGGATGGCGGTTAAGAGCGTTGGCACTAGTGTCAAACCTGGCACTAGTTTAAATCCTGCTGAGACTCTGCCCCTGAACTAGCTTTATAAACCCCAATTTCTTTAGCTATAAAATGAGAATAATACCTCATAAGGTTGTTGGAGGATTGATCCTGGTAAAGGGTACATAAGACCGCAAATATTGTGTGTGGTTACTGTTAAACTGCATTAATAAGTTGAAAACAACTATATTCCATATCCATTAATTATCGGTGCATCAGGTATTCTTTACATATCTACAATCTTAACCACTTGGTCACTTATCATCTAATGACCAATAATACATGTTGCCTAATAACCAACCAGTTGTTCAGGATATAACACAGGTAGAATCTGTGGCCAACAATAGTGTGAATAAACCAATGCATATTATGAATCTGTAACCAAACAGATAAGTAACGGTTCATGCAAGCACACTGACTGGTTTAGCAACAGGGTTTTGGCTATCAGGACTTTTTTCAGATCCATCATCAAAGATCCTGGCTCATCACCAAACACTTACTGGTTGCATCTTTGTGAACACGGAAGAGAGGCTGTTCCAAATATCCTCCAGCCCAGTCCTGACCTGCCTCCAAAACCCAAGAGCTGGGCTGGGGCTGGGGCTGAGGAAGTGCAGGGGGCTGGGTCTGAGCCTGGTGCTGAGTGGGGGTATGGCGGTGGTGGTGGTGCTGCTGCTGGTGGTCTGACTGGTGCAGCTGGCGTCAGAACAGGGGCTCGAGTCCAGCGGGCACTCCTCAAGACGCCGGTCGCAGCGACATTGATGGTAGGTGCAAGGACGGTGCTCTGTACGGAGCTGGCTCAGTGCCCCAACTCGAAGGCGCCCTGAGAGGCCCTGCAGCCTCCCGGCCCGGGTCCGGCTCATGGTGCCTGACTTGCAGTGGCAGTGCCACGGGCCCCAGGGCATCAGCACCAGCCGCAGGTCCTCAGGAGGTGGCATGGCTGTGGTTGAGGGGCGTGGCCGGCGGCTGGGGGTGGACCCTGCTGTGGACCACTGGGTCAGGCTGGTGTCCGGGAGGGTGTGCTCGGGGTGCTCAGTAGATTTCCAGGTGGAGGGCGGCAGGCTTGTGGTCAGCCTGTACTCTGGATCCTGGATATTCGCTGCAAACCTTGAGCTGAACTTCTTCATTGTAGTACTAGAAATCGTACTGACAACCTCTAAATTGGTGTTATTCTTTTGGGCGTTAATCACAACCCCTTCCTCCAAAGACCCATCCCTGCCTTGCTCCCACGAACGCAACCTGCTGATGTCCGTGGACACCGTGGAGGCCAAGAGCTCAGCAGCGGCAGGGCCTGCCAAGCGGTCAGCATTGGCCACGATGTCATCCTCATCATCCTCCATTATTACCCTCCTCTTGGGTGGGACACCGGTCCGGGGGTTGGTCCGGTACTTGCGGGTCATCGTGTCTCCCAAGCGGAAACTGACCGGCTGCGTCCCAGCTGAAGTCAGACCTTGGGCCCCCGCCGCCGCTGGGGACCCCAGACTCAGCAGCAGGGCCCAAAGCAGCGCGCCGGCGGCGGGGACCATGGGGCTGGACGGTGTAGGGCCGAAAGGGAGGCCAGTGACGGAGGCCGGGGCTCCGACTTTCTCTGCCTTCCACTCTCGACCGACCCACCGGGTCGGGTCGTTAGAACGAGGAGCTCTGCGGCGCGCGCCACGCTCCTCCCCCAGGCCTTCTGCCCCGCAGCCCCAGGGGCTGAGCTAAAAATCCCCGAGAATCCCTGCCACAGGAACGACCTCCGCTGGCAGGCGGATTGTGATGCGAGGAGCTGGGGAAAGGGCAGTTCGTTTCCTTGGCACACAGCTTAAATCTCTCTTTGCAATTTACTAACCACTACACATCTGAATTGACTAAAGATAGAGATCTCACACACACACACACACACACACACACATCTGAATTGACTAAAGATAGAGATTACACACACACACACACACACACACACACACACACACAAAATTGGTTTGTGATAGAGAGGAAGGGAGAGAGTGAGTGAAACATGGATTTGTTGTTCCGCTTATTTATGCATTTAATGGTTGCGTCCTGTATGTGCCCTGACAGGGGACGGAACCTGCAACCATGGCTCTAACCCAGCTGAGCTACCCCCTACCCTGCCACAGCTAAAAAAGGGTTTGAAAGCGCTTCTTCCCAGGCTCGCAGGCAGCAGACACGACTAAGGAAGAGGGGCATAGAGAGGCTCCAAGCAAGGTGGACTCCTTCCTGGCTCCCCGCGGGCAGGCAGGCTGGCTGTGGCAAGCCCTGCCCCAGCACCCCGGGTGGAAAGGATCCCAGCCCCTTCCTTTAAGAGGGTGAAAGTGACTCACTGAGTTGAAATTATCTGCCCAAGGTCTTACAGCTAAAGCAGGACTAAGACTCACAGCTTTGCACTTTCCCATATAAAATACTACTACATGTTGAAATGAGTCACCCAGTAGATCAAGTTCCAGACCTCAAAGCCCTGCTTTGAAGGCAGATCACGGAAGGAAGGACACCCCACTTAGGTGTGAAGATCCAGGGAGGGGTTAAGGTGCAGCCAGATGGATATCTTTGCTTGGTACTAAGGCCCTTTATTCCAGTCCCATGCTAGGTCCTTCCTGAGCCATGGAGATCCTGGTCCAGCCTAGGAGAGAGAAAAGTAAGTGGGCCTGGGTTTTACTCACTGGTATGGGGAAAGAAGCCAGGTGGAGTGGAAGACTGGATTCTTGAGTGGGTCATCATGTAGGATCCTTTGCTCCCTAGCACCCCTTTCCCGCTGATAGTCTCTCCCCTTCACTGCCAACAACCACATCCCTTTCTAATTTCTGGGGCTGGTCGGAATCTCCTTTAAATTCTGTGCTGTGATTATTCCTTTATTCCTTGTTGCCTCAGCACTTATACACATAGTTTTTCATTTGTTCTTCTTGGATACATTAATGTTCTTAACTTCTCTAGGTATGTGCAGTTTTCCCAGATACCTTGAAACATCTGGAAGCAGGGCCTCTGGCTTTTGATTCCTTTGTACCTACCCCAAGGCGTTAAGAAAATGGCATTACACATCCCACCCCGAACCTTTATCCTTAAAGCTCAGGACTCACTGTTTGACAGCTTCAGGGATGTGGATCTGATCCAAGGAGATGAGCTGGGCCAGCTCTCCCAGGCTATTCAGAAAACGGATCTTTCGTGAGAACTTGGAACTGGAAAGAGAGGATAAACTGCATGTGTTGTATCCATGAAGAGGACCCCCTGAGACGCTTACAAAGGGAAATGTAACAAGTAGAGAGGGGTTAAAAGGCTACAAAGAGTTGGAGGATGGGGGACAAGGTCTTCTTAATCTTGATTTTGAAAATGGGAAGAAATCGGGGGACTGTTTGAGATCTCAGTTCATGGCCTAAGAGTTTGGAAAAAGGAAGGAAAGGAAGGAAGGAAGGAAGGAACAAATGAACAAACAGAGGAAGGAAGGAAGGAAGGAAGGGAGTGGAAGGAAAAAAGGAAGGAAAGAAAGAGAAAGAGACAGAAAGAAAAGAAAATGGGAAGAAAGGGAAGGATTAGCGTCCTTGTCCCCAGGGCTAGTACCTGATGAAGGGCCGAAACAGTGCCAGGAATGCCTTCACATACCACGTAGCATGGACAACCACCAGGGCACGCAGGTTTTTCCTTACCCTGAAGAAGAATTTGAGATCATTCTATTTCTTCTTCAACCTTCATGCCTGAAGAGCAGGTGGAGGTATATTCTGTACTTTAACTTCCTTCCCTTCTCTAATTTCTATATTTTTCTGGCGACTGGATCTAACCTCCATTCTTTTCATTGCAATCTTAGCTCTATCCATTTTGTTCAGCTCCGTGCCCCTCATTCTTAGGAACCTCTCCTCTCAGAGTCCCTCAGCCTGGTCTTAGCTACCCCATTTCCCCTTCTGTGCCCTACCCTGGCATAAATGCCTTTGGTACACTTCCCCATCTCTCCTTGAGCAGGCCTGTTTATAGAACTCCAGGTGGAAGAAGGCCAGTGAGGAGAAAATAAAGAAGGAGGAAGAAGAGAAAAATGAGCAAAGGGAAGATGGAGGAAAGAGGAGAACACTGGGGGAAAAAGATTTGTGGGTCAGGGATGAATGCAGAGAAGACGATGGATTGGAAAGTGAAATAAGTGACCAGACTGTGGGAAGAGGAAGGGGTGCCTTCTAGATGCGCCAGGCAATTATGCCACTTTGATTTACTTGATTTTCACATATTCCCAGTGGCAAAGATACTCTCATTGCCATTCTAGATAAGGAAACTGAATCCCAGAAAGGCTAAGTGACTTGTCCAAAGTCACACAGCTGATTAAAACAAAGCAAAACAAAGTCACACAGCTGGTAAATGCAAAGACAAGATTTGAAACTTGCTTTCTCTGATTCCGAGAGAACAAAAGAGAGTAAAGGCCTAGAAAAAGGTATAAAGCGACAAAAATGAGGAGGAACTAAGTGGAAGAAGAAAGAATGTAAAGAAGGAAAAGAAAAAGCTAAGACAGACTCATACCCCCCTTGCTCTGAGGCTCACCGCCGATCCAGAGTCCGGTAACACTGGCGTATCCAGCTCAGAGGTGGAACTTGTGACCGGTTTGTGCCTCCACTCAAATGAACAAGCAGATAATTTTCAGCTACCAGCAGCTCTAGAGTTCCCACCATATACCTGGGGGGACAAAATTATCAGAGAAGATATGTGTTTGGGGTTATGGGGAGTGAGAGGGACATTACTATAGACTCTACAATAGCTACTGATCAAGAAGGGGTTTCTTTTTTACTTTTCCCTCCCTAACATCCAACCTGGAGCCCTTCAGTCCACCCATCTCACCTAAATAAGTGTTCCATGACATAGGTATAGTTGGGGATGCTGCTTCTGGGTAGATAACAGGAAGCAAAGAGGATGACAGCATTGAGGCCATCACCATGGTAACCTGGGAAGGATAAGAGAAATTTCATTCAGCTAACAGATGTGTATTGACAAGTATGTTTAGGTTGAGGGTGTCTGGAAGTTACAGAAGTGCAAACTCAGTAACTGAGTTTCCAGCTTAGGCATTTTGTTCAAGAAGTCACAGTTCTTACACCTCCACTTATGCTAGCCATTACCTCCATGAGACAGGACTTTCTTATAGGGCTCAATGACAGTCATGTCCACTCGCAGCTCCCGCTGCCCTGTTCGGAACACCTTCCAGCGATGACCATCTTCTCCAGCCACATCCCACACACAACCCTGGCCCAGCCTTTCAGCTGCCTCACTGGCTCCCAGGCCCTCTGCCTGGGGCAGCTCATCTAAAAGAGAGGGATGGGGAAGGATCAATAGAGCAGAATACACACCTTCAGTATCTTGTAACTTCCCCAGGTTCCTAGAGTCTATTACTCCAACCTCTCATTCCTCAATTTTCCCTATGACTGTAGTGCTAGTTTGTTCAATACACCCAACCTCTTGCTGGTTTCTATTTCCTGCAATTCATTATCCTCACTTTTTCACTAGACAGTGGCCTTGATGTAGCCTCGCACTATGGTAGGTTGATGGCCCTTGCTAGTTATCAGTTTTTTTCTTCTTTCTCCTCCCTCCCTCCCTTCTTTTCTTCCATGATTCTTGAGTGAGGTCAATTATTCCCATATCTTCAGTTACCATCGATAAGGTGGTGACTCCCAAATTTGCCTATTTAACTGAGGCTTCTCTCCTAACTCCAGACCTATATTCCTAAATGTCTAGACTAGACATCTCTACTTTATGTGTCTCTGTCATCTCCAAGCCACCAGACACAAAGTGCAACTCAAATGCCTGCTCCTCTTCATCTCTCCCATATTTCCCTTCTTGATGAATGACCCCATCCATCTAGCTTCCTGAGAGAGAAAACGGTACATCCAAGGCTCTTTCTTCTCTATCAGCCCTCAAGCCAACTGGACCCCAGATCCTCTTTCATCTACCTCCATTACATTCTTTTATCATTCTTTCCACTGTTACTGCCCTGGTTTAGGTTCTTAGCATTTGCCACCTGGCCTTAGCACGAGCCTCCTAATTGGTCTCCCTTCCTTTAGTCTGTTTCCCTCCATTCCACCCTCAAAACCATTGCTAGAGCAAAATTTCTGTTCTCCCCTACGTTTTTTACTCAAATGGCAATATACTATACACACTAACTCTGCAAGATGTTTCCATGGCTATAGAAAGAGCTACCTAAAAAACAAAAACAAAAACAAAAAACACTTCCTCATCTTAAAAAAATAGTTGCCTAGTACTTAGTATTTCATTGTATGGAGACACCATAATAGTATTAATACCCTACCGCGGGACCCTTAGGTTGTTTCCAATCTTTTCAGAGAGATTAAATCTGATCATGTCACTCTCTTCATTAAAAGCATACAATGACTCCCCATTACCTATAAGATAAACTCTAAACTCCTTAGCCTGGTAGCAAGGATCTCTATGATCTGACCTTGCCTACTTAACATAGCACTATCTTTTGTCATTCTTTCTTCACCTCCTGGCCCTCCATATCTGTAGTATAATGATGTAATAATATATATTTTTTTGTTTTGTTCCTAGCTCCTGATGAAATAGGTAAAAAGAGTACCTTTTGTTATTCATAACAAGCCCCTTTCAAACACAGGGGTTTATATTAACAAGATGGCTTTGGAAACCTCCTGAGGAGGAATGGCTGGTTGCCAGGGCAACCATCCAGGTGATTAGAGGGCTGGAACTCTAGGGAGGGGAGAGAAGGTAAGGGTTGTGTTAATTACTAACAGCCAGTGAGTTAATCAATCATGCCTACATAATGAAGCCTCCATAAAATCCCTAACAGAAGGGGTATGAAGAGCTTCTGGGTTGGTTAACACACGGAGGTGCTAGGACAGTGGTGTGCCCAGAGAGGGCATGGAAGCTCCACACCTCTTCCCATGTGTCTTGTCCTGTGCATCTCTGCCTTCCGGCCGTTCCTGAGTTGCATCCTCTTATAATAAACCTGTAATCCAGTAAGTAAATTGTTTTCCTGAATTCTGGTGAGCCATCCTAGCAAATTATCAAGGCTGAGAAGAGGGTAGTGGGTAGCCAGTCCATCTGAAACACAGGTGACACACCTGGACATGTGACAGGTGTCTGAGATGGGGGGAGAGGCAGCAGTCTTGTGGGACTGAGCCCTTAACCTCTGGGGTCCACACTAACTCCAGGTAGTTAGTGTCATAACTGAACCTTAGGATACCTAGTTGGTGTGTGGAGAGTTGGAGAATTGGTCGATGTGGGGAAAACACACACATTTAATGTCAGAAGTATTCTGGGTAGAGAAGAAACAGTTTTCCTTAGTATCTAAAGAGTCAGGCTTGCCCTGCCTGGTATGGCTCAGTGGACTGAGCGCCGGCCTGTGAACCAAAGGGTCGCCGGCTTGATTCCCGGTCGGGGCACATGCTTGGGCTGCGGGACGGGTCCCCAATAGGGGGTGCGTGTGAGAGGCAACCACACATTGATGTTTCTCTCCCTCTTTCTCCCTCCCTTCCCCTGTCTAAAAAAAAAAGTCATGCTTAATCCTTTGAGTTCCCTTACTCGCCATGCTATTGCCCAAGTTGCTTCTTCCAGCTAGAATGCCTCTCCAGCTACCTGACGATTGCTCAGAGCCACTTCCTCAGTGAAGTCTTCCCCAACCCCTCTCAGGCACAACTGACGTTTTCCTTCTCCCTGCCTACACTGTACCCTGTATACATGTAGATCATAACCTTAACTGCATTTATTTGTATCTATGTTTATTTCTTACTAAACAGAGAATTCCCTGAGGATGGTAGGGATTATCTTCTTCATCTTTATAACTCCAGTTCTAGCTCACTGATGGCATGTACCAGTCAGTCATTCAATCATTTTCCTTAATTAACAAAGGACCCCACCCCTCCTCTACTGACCTCTCACATTGAATTCCTAGGTTCTACCTTTCTATTCTGAAGAATTAATTTTGCCGACCTTACTCCTCTGTCCCCACCTTATCAGTTCTAACTTCAGTCCCACTAAATCCATCCTGAGTTATAACATGGGCCTCTACTTCTTCCTGCTCATTCCTCAGGTTTCTTTCCCACCTTCCCACTCAAATTCATGTCCACTGTCCAGCTGCTCGGAGTCTGAAGGTGTCTCTAATTCATCTACTTCCAGGTCAGAACTACCATCAGAAGAGGAAGGTGCTGAGTGGGTGGGAGAAGCTTCATTATCTCCAGGCCCCTTTGTCAAATTCAGGCGCAACTCTGGGGCAGAAAGACGCTTACGCATGGCACGCTGGCCACACAGGGCTAAAGTGCTGGGGGTACCTGGGATGGGGGGAGGGGAGACAAAAGAGTAGAAAGACATGTGTGCTGGTTCGAATTTCTATGGGATACTATGGGTGAATTCTAAAAAAGAACTAACACGGGGATATTTGGGCAAAGGGAAATAGGATTGCCAAGGGATGAGGATGACATAACCCTCTGCTGGATTAGAATCAAGAACTTGAGGCCAGCCCTAGCCAGGTAGGCTCAGCTGATTGGAGCACAGTTCCTACACGCCAAGGTTGCAGGGTTTGATCCCTGGTCAGGGCACATACAAGAAGCAACCAATGAATGCACGGAAAAGTGGAGCAACAAACCAATGTTTCTCTCTCAAAATTAACTCGCCCACTCCCCCCGCCCCAGAAAGAAAAACTTTGAGGCCTAGATTCTAATTTACCTACCTGCCTGCGAGTCTCTTTTAGGGTTGTCAAAATTTTCAGAAGAGTCAGCCTTCTCAGGATGCAAACTGGAGTAAAAAAAAAGATTAAAAGGGAGAAGAAATATAGGCTAAAGGCATGAAGCCAGGTATCATTTCATCATAATTTTATTGTGATGCTCTCCCCACCACAATTTTATTACCTCTGCTCCCCCCTCCTTTCCCGTTCTAATTTACCATTCCTACCCTCCATCTGTGACTATCCCTTCCCACTCCCAGCCTCGCTCCCTCCCTCTCATCTCCTCACCTAGGGAATTCTTCATCTTGCCATTCCTCCTCCAGTTCCAGTTCCCCAAGTCTCAGGGATGCTCCTAGTCTTGCTGCTTCTGTATTCTCCCTGACCCTAAGGTAGTGTCCCAGCCCCCGGAAGAAAAGATTATCATGAGACAAACCAGGCAGTGTCTTGAGGGAACTGGACTGTAGGTAGGAGACACTGGAATGAAGAACAGTAATTAAGGGGCAGAGCATAGAGCAAGCCTTAAAAAGAACTCATGCCGTAGCCAGATGTTTCTACTACCTTCACCACTTGCTGGAAACAGATTACCCCTACTGTTGGGTTTATGAACAGAGGAGGACAGAATGTAAAACTAATCTTATTTACCCCATGGCTGTCGCTCCACCTACACAGCAGGGGTGAGAAGTAAAATCCGCATTACAATTGGCTGGAAGCCAACAGACCTGCCCAGCTATCGCTGGGCAAAGTTCGGGAAGATGGCACCTAGACAGGCCTGCCTGTCCTCCACCTTGCTGGGGAGTGGTCAGGGGAAACTGCGGTCTAGGTGGAGGGGTGGGGGAAGAAGGTAAGGAGGAAGATAGATTTGCTGGTAAGAACCTGGACCTAAACTTCTGGGTCAGCATTCCTAGGGGCCATTCTGGAGGGTGGGGGTTAGAAAACAGAACAGGGGCAGATTTATCATACACAAGATACAGAAACTTCCTCCACACACACCTACACACACATGTGCGCGTGTGTGCGGGAATTACCCTGGACTCCATGTTTCCCAGTTACCGTACCATACCAAGATTTCCTACCTAAATCCACCCTCATCCCTTCTCTGTAAATTAATTCTCTTACAGTTGTATTGCCTCTAGGAACCCGAGATAAGAACTGGTAAGAACTGGATGGTGGGAAAGTCCCAAGACTAGTCACTTTTTGTTTCTAATCATCAGCCAAGATCTTACTTACCCAAGATCCAATGTCTTTTCTCCTGCTTCTTGTATAGTTCCCATTTTCACCAATCTGTCCCCTTCCTTAAACACCTAGAGTAGCCAGGGAGCTGGTTACCCCAGCTCTCCAACACTTCTGAACCCTTTCTCTGCCTCAGCTGTTGCTGTCTTGCCTCTAAGGAGGAAGGTGTGGAAGGGAGGTAACCTCACCTTCAAACAGGTTTTGCCACCTCCCTTCCCAAAAAGCAGGTTTGCCCAAAAGAAAAACCATGCCTATGTGGGGGAGGGTTTTGGGGAACAGAGTACATTTTCTAAACGGTTAGTCTTGGAGGACTCTAGGAAGGCATTCTGCTGTTCTTTCTAGGCTCCTTAGAATCTGGAAGCTGCTCTAAAAAAAAAAAAAAAAAAAAGTAACAATAAAACCATTTCAGTTTAGGAATATCTTGGTCCTACTTTTTTAAACTTTTTTTAAAAAGATTTTATTTTTTAGAGAGGAGAAGGGAGGGAGAGAGGGAAACATCAATGTGTGGTTGCTTCTCGAGTGACCTCCACTCGGAACCTGGCCCACAATCCAGACATGTGCCCTGTACTGGGAAATTGAACCAGGACCCATTGGTTCGCAGGCCAGCACTCAGTCCACTGAGCCATACCAGCCAGCATTTGGCCCTACTTTTTGAAAATAAGCAAAATCAGCAACACAGAAATGTGTTACAAGGATGGTTCTGGGAGAAGAAACAAATTAAAGGAGAAGCTGAGGATGAGGGAAGATAAAATACTGTTGCTCCTTATTCCCAAAGAGTCAACAGAAGGAAAATATTAAAAGTACAATAGAAAGGAGGGAGAAAATCTTGAGGAAGATGAAACAATTATCTGATGAAAAGGCCTGATTATAATCATGAAAAGAGACACCCCAACCAGGAAAAAATTATTTAATTCTTTAACAAAATGCAAAATAAAGTACCCAAGTTACAAAACATAAATTCCTTTGGTTCAGTAATCACACCACTATTTTTACCTTCCAATGGCTACACACATCATCCCCTCAACGTGGAGTCACACCGTCCCCCTCATACTGAAAACATCATGCCCAAACCATCACATTCCCCCCAATTCAGTGAAACTGTTGGCAACTTACATGGAATAGGGCTGTGGGGTAGCAAAAGGGGAACAGGTTGGTCTGAAGAAAAAGGGGAGACTACACATGCAGAACAAGTCAGTGGGAGGGAGCTCTTTCCTGGGTCACTATGGTATGAATCATATCCCTGTACATGCTACATGAGGCTGAGTCCCTTGGCACAATCACATATAAATACAAACAATCCAGTGATGCTGACTACTGCCAGTGAGAACAGAACTTCTAGTCTAGACCTTTAGTTTTACAGATGGGGAAAGTGAGACCTAGAGATGAAGTGCCTTGCCAAAAGACACAGTTCATGGCAGCCCTTATTAGAACTCCATGATTCCTTTCACTATGAGCAAGAAGAGAATGACATGGACAAGAAATTGACAGACCCACTAAGGCAGGCTAGGGAGCCAAGGCTCTCATTGCAGTTCTGCTCTTTTGGGAAGAGTGCCCATGTGGTGACAAGGCCTTCCTGAGTGTCCCTGGACGCTCGGGGCTCTCGTGGGTTTCTTTAGGCTCCCTGTGGCTTTGGGAGAAGGGATCCAAAGAAACCGAGAGCCAGGCCATCTGAGCAGGGCAGAAGATAATGGCCTCTAATCTGCTCCCAAATAATCCTAAGACTCACAACAAACTCAGGGAAAAAAAATTTAGCCATCTTGGAATCAGACACCATTACCTAACTGGGGGCAGAAAGAGGAGTCACGAAGCTGGAAATGTGCTAAAGGCTGAGAACTGGAATAGGAGTTTCCAACACACGCTCTATAGGCTATACAGCTTAGAGTAGGTATTCAATAAATACTTGAGTCAGTGAGAGAATAAATGAATACATGGAGACAATGAATGTTTGGTTCCATGAGAGGTACTGGTTCTGATGAAACCCTTGCTGAGGACACTTTTGGGGCACACATTCTTTGTTTGTGCCACTCTGCTGAAACAGTGTAGGAGTTACATCGTACCCCTGGAGAGTCAGTGCAGATCTAAAGAATTAAATAACAGGATTGGATTGGTAGAGATTTGGGGCAGGGCAGGGCCAGGGGGTGGGGAGAGGAGGTAGGAAGCCATTCCTAAAGCAGCTGCTTTCTTTTACTTCTTTCTCCTCCCAGGTTTATGAGAACAGTACAAGTACACCACATCCTGGAGCAATGAAGACAGAATTGCTGAAACCTCTCCAAACATGCATTTGAGGTGGTTCAAGCAACCTCTCCCACTAACCCCTCCCCTCCCAGTGGTCACTTCTTGGACATGGAGGCAGTGCTAGACTGTGACAAAGAGATCTGACTGCACTTCTCAAAGATGGCCTCGGCAGAGAGTTTGGGCAGCCCCTGATCCAGAGGGCACTCGTCCACCAAGCTGTTCATGGGCGTGGGGGGCAGTGGAGGCTCCTCCTCATCTTGACTCAGTCCCGGAATCAGCGAGGTACCTGCCCTGTCCAATTCCTTGTCCACCTGCTCCCTGGACACATCCACTGTCTCAGGCTGCCCTGAAGGGCTTGTCATGGAGTCAAAATATGCTGACAGGGCTTCCTGAAGGAGAGGCAGAAGTTTCTTTCGAGACACCTGGGTGTTGCCTTGAAGATAGGCTTGGAGATTAGGGTGGGGACTTGGTGTAAGGGTCAGCTTCAGGGACGGAGAGTGGGAGTGTTCCAGGACTTCACAGATCTAAAGGGGCAACAAGACGGGAAACAGTATATAAGGTGGTGAAGTCAACTGATGAGCTAAGCTAGAGACTTCTCTTACAGAGAAGAAGTATTTTTTAAATTTGTACTTTTTGATTTTAGAGAGAAAAAGGAAGGAGAGAGAAAGGAAGAGAAACATCGATTTGTTGTTCCACTTATTTATGCATTCATTGATTGAGTCCTGTATTGCCCTGACTGGGGATCGAACCTGCAACCTTGACTTATTGGGACAACATGAACCAACTGAGCTATCTGGCAAATGGGAAGAAATTTTTTTTAAGTCATCCAGAATTCAGCTTTATTGCTTGTAACAAAAGGCACATCAGCTAATATACATAGTATTTTAGAAATAGAAGAAACTTTTAAGATCATATATTTCATTTTATTAGTAAGTTAACCAAATCCCCAAGAGATTAGCTGTCTCAAGCAAAATAATATATTATATTATAGGAAGTGGTAGAGTATGAACCATAACCCAGGACCTCCAGCTTCTAACAACCTAGTGTTGTTTCCTAGTGTTTTCCTGTGCTCAAAAACTTGAACTCTATGCTTACCTGCAAGGGGACAAGCATCTATACTGAGGTCAGGGGAAGAATAGAGGCAGAAAGAATGAATAGAAAAAAGTTAGGGTGGGAGGTATGCCAGGCATGGTGCCAAGTCTGGCCATTCACAAATATCACCTCATTTACTCCTCACAACTACCTTACAGGATTGATATTACTATTATCCTCACTCACAGGTAGCAAAACTGAGGCTTAATCAGATTAGGTAACTTCCTAAATTCATAGTTTGAATAAAGCAAAGCTGACACTCGAACCTAGGTCTGTTACCAAAGCTGGTGTTTTGAATCACTCTATTATACTATTCCCAACAGAGGAGGAAGAAAGGCAATCGTAGGGCAGACTGTGGAAAAAGGACGCCCATTGCCCAGCGCAAGGCAGCCTGGCCGTGGGAGTGTCGTCAGCTCCAGGGCAGCAGCAGCACAGAGCGGCTGTGGTGGGGACAGGCACTTCCAGCAGCCGAAGTCCCTTTTCCTTCGTGGCAGGATTAGTAGGAGCCACCATCTACCACATATTCACTTTTGTGCCCAGCAATGTTCTTTACCTATGACATTATGTTTAATGATGTCATCACACTAATCATGCCACTTATAGCCTCGGAAGTCAACTGACTTGCGTAAGAGAAAGTAAGGGGCAAATCTGGGATAGAAAAGCATGTCTCTCTGTCTTTAAAAGCTGTAGTCTTTCCACAATGCCAAACTATCTTCCACTGAATGAAGTTACATTTGCTTCCTAAAGGAGAAGACAGAGGCAAAGAGAGGTGTGGGAAAGGGCAAGCGTACCTTCAATGGGCTCCAAGGGTTACATGGTTGTATTCACACCTGGCTTCACCAGTCCTCATACAGCCCAAGCAACCCAGAGAGGCCCTGGACTGCTTTAAGTCCACTTTTAAATTCTTCCCCATGCTAATGAGTAACCAACAGAAGAAAAGAAAGGGGAGGAGGTGGAAAAGGTGGCCAAGCAGAAGATGAGGCAAGAAAACAACCTGCTCCTGGGTCACTACTCCACAGAGTCAGCACTATACAGGGTGATTACTCCCTAAGTGAGTAAACAGTAGAAAAGGTTTCTCTTTTGTTTCCCATTTTCCTGGCAAGAGGGTAAAAATAAAGAAATTGGTTTCCAAGGTTGAGGAGTTAATGATTAAACTAAGAATTGAGTTTTAAGTGTAGACTCATTCCATTTCCTTTTAACCCAATTTCAGGTTCCTTCTAAGTAGGAACTCCATCTCTTATTCGCTTTGGAATCTCCCTTGCCCAATGGCAGTATGATCAAGGATATTCACATAGACAGAGAATGGAAGAAAGCAGGGAGGGGAGATTCTGGAAATAGGTCAGGGGACCTCTGTGTAATTATATGAACCAAGGAGAGGGCGGCATATACAGGCAGAGCTCTGTAGAGCCCTCAGCTTGAAGAAGAGATAGAGACTCACTGTCATTCGGAGTGCGGCATGGGGACAGAAAACAGCCAACTGCCGCACTGGCTCATTGTGAGTGTTGAAGAAGATAGTCATGGCAACCAGGACATCGTAGCTGTGAGCCTGGCAGAAAGCATGGAGGTCTGCAATGAGGCCGGACCTCTGCAGGAAGGCCTGAAAGAGAAGACACGGACAGAGGTGAGGGCTAGAGCTGGGACCCCCGTCACCACCACTGAAAACGCTTATGAAGGGTTTCTTCGCATGTTAACCTGGGACTTGTACACTATAAAAATGTTTCTACTATTTCCTCGGTGTTACCTATATGTCAGAGGCAATGCGTAGCATGGGGAGGAATACAGGTTTTGAGTTCAGA